GATAAGAAATCCTATATTATTAAATTAATCTGATGTAATTGTTATTGTTAGTCTATATAATAGAGTCCCATGCTATTGGCATACGCAGATTCCAACAATTGCCTCTTGCTTTCTTGTTATTCAACATTATTTGTGTAGGAGAGTGTTGTCAAGATGTGAGCTTTCACATAAAGAATGTAGCACCCTAGTTTCTGGTAAGGAAAAAAATGCACTACAGAGAGCCATATGGGGAAGGAAGTGGGGGCAACCCTCAAAGCGATGCTACCAACAGCAAAATGAGTTTCTTCTTGGGGTGTTTTTGGGGCTGCCCAAAGCTTCTGCTTTGTGACCACTTGCTCCTGTTCCGGCAACCTCTCATCGACTATTGGACCCACTAGATTTGAGCCATTGCATAGTAACACGCCTAAGGGAAAGTACATATATTCCTTGATTTGGGCATCTCTTTGTATTGGGACTTTAAGATTTCTAGCAGACAACTGATTGTGTAAGTACATCATCCCTAATAAGGTTTCCATAGTTTCAATAAATTGTGCATATGGAGTGTCTATCAAAATGTTTGGGGAAGATATCATTGTATGGATCGCGGGGTTTTGGTGCTTGCAGCTGCAATCTTTTAAGAGCGTTTGGATTCCAGTGTTGCTATATCTGGTCGTGAGTTAAAACCCCTTATGGTCTATGGGAGAAGTATTTTGAGCCAAGCGTTTTGGCAGATATATTATGTTTCAATTGTGAAGCCCACTGTGGTATATGATGGAGTTTGTGCTACAGAGCCTGATTTTTAATAGAGTTTCAGATTTAAAAGAGAGAAGAACAGTAGGCAAGATACAAAGGTTGAAGAGAAACTGAATTTTATTAATAGAGTGAAAGGAGCAAGAGACACTTCTCTTTACAAGGGAAAATATCCTTTACACTGAGCACTCTCAGTTACACTCGGGAATTATTCAAAAATCCCCTAAGTCTGGAAACAACTTCCTATTTATACAAGGATTCTCAAAACCAAAAATTGAACCAACTTCCTAACTAACTCTTAAAGTCTTCTTTGATACACTTTCCATATTCTAGGCCTTTCTATATACCCTTACCCACATTCATATCCGTATCAGTTTGTAGGATTTTTGGCAGGGAGAAAGGCTGGCCCAAGCTCTCTTTAAGGGCACTCTCAGGCCACCAGAGGAAGCCACTTTGGGCAGTTAAAGTTATTACAGGTAGGAAATATGCTTAAATAGGGAAGGAGGGTAGAAGAGGGGACATTCTGATTTGTCATCGTTTGAGAATGGAGCATTAGCTTTGTTATAGAAAGGGGAAACCCTTGGAAGGAGAATTTTCTCCTTAGGTCTCTGTTTGTAGTTCAATAAAAAACACTACAAGAGCATCCTTTCTCTTTTCATTTCTGTTTTTATCTCTCTTTCTCTCATTCCATTTCTGGGATCCTAACAGCATGCATGGAACTTCTGTTATGGTTTTCAGTTTTTTTTTTTTTTTTATTGTAATAAGAAGGCTTTTAAAGGATTTTTAGGATGAATTTTGTTGCTAATTCTTATATATAATTGCGGGAAACTTCTTTCCATTTTAAAGGTGCTGGTTTATGTTTGTGTTTTTGGTGCAAATTTGCTCCCTTATGGTTGATCATCTTCCACAACATTCACATCCCTGCTTAATAGGTAAAATTCGTCTTTGAAGCATTTAAGAAACTGCACCCTGGCATACCGTTGAAGTGCCTTCATGGGAGGATGAAACAGGAAAGAAGAATGGCTATATATTCAGAGTTTTGTGAGAAGCGCTCGGTTCTCTTCTCAACTGATGTGGCTGCAAGAGGCCTTGATTTTAATAAGGCTGTTGACTGGGTTGTTCAGGTGAGTCTCTTTCTCCTTTTTTGTTGTCTTTGAATCTTTGCACAAGTCTTGGGGCTTTGAGGTAGGTGGTGTTGGATGGAGAAATTGTTATTATGGTCAGAGTCTCACTTTTCTCTCCCATCGTAGGTGGATTGTCCTGAAAATGTAGCATCTTACATACATAGAGTTGGCCGTACTGCTCGTTATAAATCTGGTGGAAAGTCAGTTTTATTTCTATTGCCTTCAGAAATTCAAATGCTTGAAAAGTTAAAAGCAGCAAAGGTTCCAGTGCATTTTAACAAGGTACATTTGCTCTGCAAATCAATTATGTGCATGTTATTCCAATTTGCATTTGAACATGGATGTGCCAGTTGTAGAGATGTCATTTTCTTATACAAATCATTCTCAATCTTACATTTTGTCTAACATATTTGCTTACCATGATTTGCAATTGCTGATTGTTCAGCCAAGGAAAGAACTGGTGCAACCAGTTTCTGGTTTGATGGCATCTTTATTGGTCAAGTACCCAGACCTCAAGCATTGGGCTCAAAGGGCTTTCGTCACATATTTGAAATCCATCCATATCCAAAAGGATAAAGAGATCTTTGATGTCATGAAACTACCTATTGATGAGTATTCAGCATCATTAGGTTTGCCAATGACCCCCAAAATCCGTTTTCTAAACCAGAAAATTAAATCTAAAGCTGTCTCAACAAAATCAATTCTAGTTGAGCCAGAAGATTCAAACATGGAAAAGGTTTTGGAGGTTTCTAGAAAGAAGCTAGACACAACTGTTTTCAACAATGAGGAAACTGAAAATGATCTTCTTCAGGCAGCTGATACCTCAACTGAAGGCGAAATGAAGTCATCTGAAAATGGAGAAATAATGTAAGTTCCATATGCATAATTTCAGTAGTACAGAGAAAGAAGTTTAGAGTTTAGATTAGTTTCTGATGATTTTTTAGTTGCTTTTTATAAGAAAAGGGTAAACTAGTCTTCTGGCTTCAAATTGCTGAGATAAATGGATCTTGCATATAATAAAACCTTAAAATGCTCGTCAAAAATTCAAAATCAGAGTTGGATATATAATTGGAATTATCATATTTTGTGTTGGGAGCCATTCGTGTGGAGCCTTGAGTTTCTTCCACCAATCTTGTTCTTACGGATTTGGTTCTTTCCTATGCAGACCAGCAACTCGGGTATTGAAGAAAAAGAAGCTCAAGATTAATGTACATAGACCACTGGGGACTAGGGTTGTATTTGATGATGAAGGCAACACACTTCCTCCGTTAGCCAGGATTGCTGAAACACAAAGTGGCCAGGAAACATCGCTGCTTGACTTAGGTATGTCCTTGCTTTCCAATTGCAAAATGAGGTTAGAATAATAGTTATAATTTTGCATTGTGAAATCTTTGCTCATATTTGTGTAAGGCTATCAATCGCACTATCTAGAATCGTGACATGTGTACGAAAATTTTTCAGTCTTTTTCCTTATGTTTGTAATCTGTAACTTTTGTTATTGTATTTTTTCTTTGGAAGTTAAATTAGAAAAGAAAATATGGTTGTGATAAATTGGCCTAGATTATTAAGTTAGAATGAGTCAATGACAACCTTCTCTGTTTTCAATAATGGAAAACGCATCATGGTGTCATTTGATTCCTTATTTTTATAATTTTATTAAAATTATAAGTGTTTTAAAATTTTAAATAACTTCTTAATCACTCATTGTATTTAATCATTATAATTATTTTTTATTTAGAACAAATAGACACTAAATTTAAAATTTACCTTCTGCCTAACTGTAACTTTCTACATTTCAACATATATACAATATTATAGACCTAACACTTGAAGCCAAGTTTTGTTATGTCATCATATACAATGGACACAGCTGTTGAACCCATGGCCCAGCTTCAACAGAAGGTTGAGGGTAGAACCTGGAAGATTTTTTCCCGAAGGAATAAACAGTAGGAGCACAAAGGTTAGGTAGTTATAATAGTTACAATAGTAGTTAGGGAAGTTAGGAAGGGGATTTAAATAGGCGCTAAGTGTACAGAATGGGTCAAGTTGGAATAGTTGTTGCGTAACTGAGATTTTTCAGCGCAAGGGCATCAGGCTTGTAAGGAGATCTTCTTGTATTCCTTCTCTCTCCATAATTAAAAATCAGAAATCTTTTTCTATATCTCTTTGGTTCCTTTCTTTATCACTCATTCTGCAGCCCCTGTTCTATTTTAATACGGGATACCTTCATGTTTGGTCTTACCCGCTGGATATTCCATTTGAATCCTCGTTGGAATTCCTCAAGAGGGTGACCCTGATAACCCTGAACATAATACAATGTCTGTGTATGGTAATTTGACATCCCTGAACATAATTCAATGTCTATATATGGTAGTTTGATAACCCTGATCCCTTTTATATTTTCTGCGACTTTTATATGTACATTGTTGAACTGAAGAACCTAACCGTGGCTAGACCTCATTTGTTTACGATACCATATGACTCAGTCTTACTTTGGAACATTGAAGTAGTTAAGTTGCATGTATGTTCTTAAGCATAGACTTTACTGTTTATTTTACCATCTGACTATATCTCTATTTATGCAGAACAAAAAGCTGAATACTATAGAAGGATGCGAGAGGATTTGAAGAAGGCAGATAAGGAAGACAAGCTTGTAGAGCGTCAACGACGTAGAGAAAAAAGAATCAAGCAGAAGATGAAGTTGAAGGCAGGAGATGACCAAGTTGATATTTCTGGTTCAGAAGAAGACGAGACAGTAGATAGACGGCATAAAAAGAGGAAAGTATACTTTGATAGTGACAGCGACAATGATGAGGGTAAAAGAAATGAAATCACGGGGAATGCAGGTGCTAGTGCTGGCTCCATTACTTTGGAGGAGCAAGAAGCTCTAGCTTTGAAATTGTTAAATTCAATGCACTCGTAGGATAGGCATACCGAAGGTGCACTCGTAGGATATACAGTGAGGTTACATTACATATAAACGGCAAAAACATGTAAAAATTGAGTAGTTTTCTGAAACTTCTAAGTTTAAAGATCAATGGATTTTGCGGCCATTTGATCTCTCCAATTTAATCTGCTGATTTTCTGTCATTATTTCTTGATTGTATTTATTTTAAGAAACACGAGAATCTTTATCGGAGTAAAACACATGATTATTTCGACCATCTTTTACCAAATACTTCGGTTCCTACTTTTATTTATTTTAACAAACACGAGAAACGTAGGAATAAGTCGTATAATGATATCATCCTTTTGTAAACCAAACATGATATTCAGATAAATTTGTAATAGTTGTGCTACAATAAGTTGAGTCAAATTATTAATATAAATAGAATAATTTAATGTTTTATACCACTTATATTTCGCAATTTGATTAGTTTATTGTCATGAATATTGAGCTAGTTGCCCATCATAATAATATTTACATAGCATTGATTAAGTTAGATTTACATTCGTTTGCGCGGCATGGGACTATTTTTTTTGCGGTTACTGATGACTATTTAATCTGCTGGGAACATGATTTGGAGTAGGAATTAAAAGGGAAAAGAAGAAAAATCAATTATACTAATATAATAAGACCAGGCCAGCCACACCAAATAATAATAGCCTGGATTCTGGAAAAGTAAAGACTTATCCAAATAGTACCACGTTAGTTACCATAGCTAATTTATAATCGTTGTTAATCATGAGTGCTTGCCATATGCATTTTGCTGATAACAATCAATAGCAAACTCGAACATGTGCTCTCTCCAGCGCATGGAAATTGACAACATAAATTTAGACTCGGGTCAAGGTCATATTGAGCTAAAATCTGACACTGAAGTATGCAACAAAGAACTATATATAATAAAACTTGATATTTAGTTGTTTTATACAGGAGAACATAGATTCATACATGAAGTAACATCCACGAAGGAGCCTAAATTCAACATCAGGATCACCTTTACTTAAGGACAATAAACTCATTTAGGAAAAAAGAGAGAGAGAGAGAGAAAATAAGGGATAATAAGAAGATCAAAGGTCCTAAGACACGGTGATACACAATACAAGCTCTTCCAAACAAAATTGCTGGCCTGAAAGCACCGAGACAGAAGACTTACTTGCTGCCAGAGATTAACATTCAAACAACAACTGATCACCTCACTCACAAGACATGATTTGAGTTAAGATGCCATTTTTTCTTTGTTCAAATAATGAACATGAACAGTATTGGCATATCCTCAACTAACAAAACTCCTCAAACTCAAAGTCATGACAGATAAAAAATTTAAGAAATAACAAATAAGCATGCCGAAATTTTGAATTCAGAAGGTTTAATACAGATTACACACGCCGGGCAAGAACGACGAAAAAGAGAAAAACAAATTGCCTTGGTTTGTTCTAACTAGAATCTTGACAGGGAATTGTAATCTGTAACTTTTTGTTGTTCTTTTTTCCTTAAAAGTTAAATTAGACAAGGAAATATGGTTGTGATAAATTGGCCTAGATTTTTAAGTTAGATAACTACCTTTTCTTAGCACAAGAAAATAGTTTTTTTTTTTTCTAATTAGTACCATGTTCACAAAACCTACAACATGACGTGCTTTCATATTAGTGAGATTTAGCTTCCTTTTCATAGGAGCAAGTGTGGTTCTTGTGAGTGTAAAGCACAACATTGCTAAGAAGCTTGGGTCCTTAACCAGAGGTCTGGAGTTCGAGCCCTGGAAATGAAAAAAAAGGATTTGGGAGAATCGTCCCCGAAAGGATCCGATAGTGCTCGATTGGGGATTAGTCTTCAGTTACGGCCGGAGGATACCCTTCAGATTACTAGAAAAAAAAACACAACATTGCTAAGCTTTGCAATTGGCAAAGTTCCCAACTTTCCAGTGTGAGAACTCGTGTCATTACAATTGACTTTTACAATTTCGTTATTTATCAATGGTTAAAAAAAATCTTGTCTATTATTTTTATAATCTCACTAAACTAAAAAAGAATTAGGTTCTTATAAGATTATATGAGCAGCATATTAAATGATTTATAATCTATTAATTATTGGAAATTGACTTTAAATAAAATATAATCTAATAATTCATGATTGAATGATAATACCGAAAAATTTGCAATTACGTTATAGTAAATTTAAATTCGCTTACCAAAAAAAAAAAAAAAAATTAAAATTCAAAAGAATATTACTTATAGCAAAATAATGAAAATATGGTGTACCTTTGAGAAAACATTTCTTGACTAAACTAGGCGCTTACAACAAAAACTCGTGAATGGTGTCACTCTCGGCCTCATCCTCGAATTTCAAATCAAAATATTCGCATGGAATTTAAAGTCTCTAGCTACCTCAAAGGTCCACACAACATAATAGAAACAAATGACACAAATTTACTTCTAAACTAGCCTCAAGAAATGTTTCACCAACTTCTAGACTATGAGTAGATGTTCTTGAAATATAAAATATGGACTGTTACCTTAGAGTTATTATCCAGTGCAGTTTCAGTTAAATTTTAGCATTTGACCTGTGTAAAGCATAATAAATTTTAGAGAAAAGTGTGTGTTTTATAAAAGGACATATTTAAATCATTTTAAGGAGAAAAAAAAATACAAAGAAATGATATCTATATTTTTATTTTTTTTCAGTGGGATTCACATTTCTTTGTATTTATCTTTCTCCTAAAATTACTTAAGTATGTTTCCTTTAAAAGTACACACTCTTTTTCCTAAATTTTATTCCTCAAAATCACAAGAGGTTCAAACACAAAATTAAATTAATTGAACCCATTAGCCATTCGGACACCTTTTGGAATTTACCAAAAACAAAAAATACGGAGAGTTGTCTGCAGCAAATAATTCTAAAGAAAGACCTTTCAATCCAATTTTTTAAGGCCTTCTCTTGAAATGTTAAATTTGGGTTTCAAGATTGGAGCGATTTCCATTCAATTTTCAATTTTTTTTCCATGTAAACTCAAGTTTGCAAGAGCCCTGTACTTTAACATTCTCGTTCATGAGGATAATATTAACTATTTATAAACCTTAACATTTTAAATTTTTTGAAAAAATAATAACTATTATTAGAATTTTTATGATCAAATTATTAAGACTTCAATACGTTTCAAGGTTAGTTTTTTTTTTTTGAAGATGATGTACCCAAAAAAAAATTGGACATGCAAAAAATATAATAAAACTGTTTATATTCCATCGCATAATAATATAATCTTTTAAGAGAAGTGGTAATTTCACACATGATTCTTTCCATTGTTTATGTAATTATGACTCTTCCACTAATCAAAACATGACAAAATTTCATGGGACCGGGTCTGCTATTATTGGATATTTTGTAACCTCACATGAAAGTATGTTAGATTGATTATTTTGTCCCCTTTTAAAAGTAATTTATCATTTCATCCCTTCTCAAATTATATAGTAATTTATTATTTTACCTCGTTCTCAAACTATATAGTAATATGCTCTCTTCTCAAATTATATATCAATTTTTTTTATTTGACCAACAACGACACCAAATTTGAACGACCCATTATTGGAATAAGAGTATGTGAAACTTTAATTAAATATAGATAAATTGATATACAATTTAGGACGGGAGCAAAGTATATAGTAGGGCAAAATGATCAATCCGCCATAAAACATCATGATTATATGTAAATAATAATTATCTTGAAATGATTGATTTAATTAGTTAGTCCAAAATGATGGGTACACTTTAAAATAAAATAAAATAAAATATTTTAATAGCTTCATAATTAATTTATAACATATGCCTGTATTTTATCACAATATCAATTATTAAATATTTTTTTTCAGTACATCAATTATTGATTTTGGACTCTTATAATTATAAGTCTACACTTTATTCCTCTAAACTGTACTAGTCCATTATTTTGGAAAAGTTATATTACAATAAGAGCACAGAATATATGTTACAATAAAAGTTATATTACCCGTGACTCCATGTGCTGCCATTTCATGTTCACGGGTCCATAACATGTGGTTTTAGAGTTCCTCTCTTCTGTTTTATATATGTTACAAAATCCATATATAGCTTCACAAATGCGCAAAAACTACAAGTCACCAACAACATTTCATTGAGTTAAAAACAGATCACTGGTACATTGTGATGAGAATGGAGCACAAGAAGTGGGTGGCACTGCATCTTATGATGGTGTTGGTAGTGATGGCTTCTATGTTGGAAGGTTCCAAAGGGATAAGTCTTTGTAACATGAGTGAGGATGGATTAATGGCTTGCAAGCCATCAGTGACTAAGCCAAACCCAGTTGATCCATCCCCTGAGTGTTGCAAGGCTCTAACTGAGGCTGACTTGAAATGCCTTTGCTCTTACAAGAACTCATTAGAGTTACCTATTCTTGGAATTGACCCAACTCTTGCTGCTTCACTTCCTGCCAAGTGCAATCTCACTCCTCCAGATAATTGCTAAGCTTGTCTGTTCTGTTTGTGTGTATCTTTTCATTTGAGGGTCATAAATAATCTTTTCTGCTAATGGCCTTATTGTGATGAATGTATTAATTGTACTCCAATTACTTCTTATATATATAAGTATTTTTTTTTTTTTTTTTGTGGTACATTATAATTCAATGTCTCTAATGCTTAAGAACTGAATTTGTTGGTGTGAAGAACAATTTTGAACTAGTTAAAAAGCCCTCAAATAAGCTGTACCTTAATTTATTTGGAAGATTTATGTGATGTTCTCGAGTCGACCCACCAAATATGCTTCCCATTTTAGGTATGCAAAATGACTTTATCCACCTTAGGTAGCCTCTTAAAAACCCTATTCTTATTAGCTGTTATTAAGCACACATATACTCTCATCTGGCTTTCTCTGCCACCATACACGATTATTTCCTTCATAAATATTGCTGCTAGCTTACAGATCCAATAAAAAACCTTGATACGTCTCGATCAAACATGTGCCATAATATCCAATATGTTTAATTCCAAGAATCATGGTGTTATTTTTTTATAAACAAATATCGCATAATACAATCTACTTTTTTTTTTAAAAAAAATTACGATTTATTTTTCTTTTAGAAAAATTATCAATGTTATTTTTTACTAATTGAAATTAAATAGCTAATGATTATTCGTATTGTAAAAATAAAAAGTAAAAAAATGAGAATCTCAATTTGTGTGCACCATAAACTAAGGAGACAAAACAAATCAACAGAAATTCAAATATTGAATTAAATCTGCAAAACCTAATAAAGGCTTGCATTTATGGATTGATGTTTTTTTGTTTTTGGGTTAAAATTTATATCGTATGGAAACTACACATAGCCTTCTCGTGGCTAAAGAAATTCTTGATTTGATTCCTTTAATTTAATGGACTGGAGAGCAGAATCAACCTTTTCTAAATGGTTGATGGAATGACCCCTATTTTAATAGAGAAAATTTTTCATGCTGTTTGAGAAATACGCATACATCGATTTATTAGGAAAAAATATTTCTACAGTTAATGTAGAAAAATTATTTGCAGCACACTATATATTCTCGAGAGTATATAGTGTAACTTCTGAAGTGAACTCTATTTTTGTTTAGATTTCAAAAGTTACACTATGTATTCTCGAGAGTACATAGTGTGCTATATATAACTTTTCTGCATTATCTGCAAAAAAATTAAATCCTTTCTTTTATTTATTTTTAATTTCTTAATGGTGCAATTCACTTGAAACATAGGTATGTAAGAAAATTTCTCCTCTCATGTTAAAGGAGAAAAACAAAGCTCATTTTAATATATTGGATTCGAAATATTTATAACAATTTCAATGTTGATGCTATTGTCCAACTTGATAAGATTGAATTATAATAATAAAATTGTGCTTTCAAACTACCAAACAAGCAGTGGTGGAGCTAGCCATCAAGATTAATGAGTCAGGGCCAAAAAAACTTAGCCAGTGTCAACCATTAAGAGCAATACAACATGCAAGTAAGAGCAATACAACATGTATGAGTAGGGATGTGCAAAAGAACCAAAAAATTAAATCGAACTATGAACCGAACTAAACCGTACTTAAAATAATTGATTTTTAAAAATCAGTTCATGAACTAAACTAGTTTTTAAAGAACCAGTTCATGAATCGAACTATTTTTAAAAATCAGTTCAAGAACCGAACCGGTTCTAAACAGAACTGAACTGGTTTTTATTACTTTATTTCTTCAATTTTCATATATTTTTCTTTTCAAAATAGGGTAGACTTGAACTACTTCCGAACCGAATTATTTCCAACCGAATCGAACCGATTTCAAACCAAACCATTTAAATAAATTCGATTTGGTTCTTCAAAAAATTCATTCAATTCAACCTATGCATTAGAGTACTAAAGTGCAATAGTTTATAAAGTGAACTTAGATTTGAATTATTTTGAAGGAAAATATTAGTTGAGTTACAAACAACGAATTATCGTCCAAGGGCTATAGGCTAGATATATAAGGTATGTTTGTATGGAATTTTAAATAAAGAACTTATGCAGGTTTTTTTAGAAGAAATTTTAAAAGACAGATTTATTTTGTATTTAGATGCACTATTAAAGAATATTTTAAATATAAAAGAATAGTATTCTAACTTTTTTAAAGTCAGGAGTATTAGCTAAAAAAACAATTTAATTTTTATTTTTATTTTTATTTTTTTAAAGTTGGCATTCAAATTATAGTAAATTAAAAATATTTAAAAAATAACTACTTAAAAAAATCCATTCAAACGGATCCTAAGAAAGTTATAACAAAACTACAAAAATTTAATGAAACAAATAAATAGTGTCGAGTGTTCAAAACTATTTATAATATTATCAAGACTTCTTATCTATGGGTTAAAATAAGTAAATGTTGCTTAGTGAAAAAAATAAATAAATAAATATATATATATATAAATATTCTCTCATATAAATCACAATACATAAAAATTACCCGTTGTGATTGTATCAACTATCTCATGCAATTTATTGGTTCATATATAGGGTTTAATGTTTCTTATGTTGCATGAGATAATTTGTCTCATGCAACACACAAAAATGGATGGGACCCAATAAAGAGAAGAGAGATAAAGAAAAAAGTGAATCTCATCCCTTTTTGTGTGTTAGATGAGATGAATTATCTCATGTAACATGAAAAATACATTCCCCCTATATTGATTGAGTTTTTGTCATCAAATGTAAAAAAATCTAGCTCAATAAAGGATAAACCTAAAATTTCCTTGTGCATGTTAGAAAATTTCCTTTATGTGGAAAATGTTAATTAATTAATTTTGTGTTTTAAAATTAATCGGGTTAATGAATATTTCAATTGTATTATTTTGACTGGCCGATTGTGATCATATTAAGTTGAGCTTATGGCATCTATTGATATTGAGTCTAGTTGAGCAACAATGTAGGCTTTAATGTGACCCTAATTTTTCGTGATGAGTGGATCCAGTGGACACAAAACTCTTTTCAGGGTATTTGACTAGGTCCCATTTCTAGCTTATATATACTGGGGTTAAGCCCTATGAGCCTTCATGCTCCCATTGCAATGAGGCTGCCACTTTTGGAATAGGTCATAGAGATGAAGATCCTAGCATATAGTTTCCCTTTCTTCCGACTTTGTGATAGCCCAATAAGGTATGCACAATCCCTACTTTGACTTTCTATTGTTGGATATTTTATAATCATATACATGATTTAGGGTTAATAAATTTTACATTTGGTTTCAGAGCCATGTATATGATTATAGAATCCTAGCATAAATTCCTTGATGATTGAAATCAAAGAAATTGATAAAAAAAAAAAATTATAAAAGTCGAAACTTTATGCTTTAATTTATAAACTTGTTCAATTGAATTGAGAACTTTGGGGCTTTTATTTTATATGTCAAGATCCTATCATTGATATATGAAATGTATGTGTTTGTGGGATATTGGAAGAGTATTTCTGTAACACCCTCTCTTGTAGGCCTCCAAGAGAGTTGTTTGCTAAGCGGAATTAGAGTTCTTTAATAGTATTTTAGAGATTGAAACAAATCGCTTTTACATTGCCAATTAAAACTAAAGAGGGGATCTGGTTAATTACAAAAATCAGAGTACGTAAAATTTCTTAAACTTACTAAAAATATAAATTTTCTGATAGACCTTGCTGTGTTTAAAAATTCGTATAAATCCAGTTCAACGATTCAAAAAAATATTCTTTGTAATCTGAAAACTAGACATCTGGGGCTTCATGTTCATATAAAATAATAGTGATTTGGAGTTCGTTTGCCCCTCGAAACATAACTTGCAAAATAAGAGATAAAACAGTGAAAATATCACAAACGTCCTGGCTGGTAAAATTCATAATAAATCTAGCTTTCAGAATTTCTTTGCAAGGTTTATATATAATGAAACTAGATACCTGGGGCTACGCGTTCATATAAATTATAAGAAAATCGAAGGTCTGTAGCCCCAGTACGACAACTTACAAAGTGCTCGCAAAGACTTTTCAAAACTCAGCATTTAGATAACATGTCAAAATCCTTTTCTCAAACGTTTCAACATCTGTTTCCAAAATACTTGCTGGTCATAAAATCATAATGCAATAATAAAATCATAGTTCATAGTAATTTAAGCTTCTCAATTTCATACAGTCATCCATAAAATTAATACAATCACAGTAACGTGCCCAACAGTAGAAACCAACAGCAAATATCTAAGTCCTCATATGCTTTGGCGTCCTCCTGCCATTTTATAAAAATAGCAGCCCCAAAGGGGTAAGAGAAATCCCAGTAGTGTGGAAACAAAACCAATAATGCAACAGTATTGAACTAGGCACAAAATTATAAACAGTCGTTTCAAACATGAAATCCTTTTCATCATATAACCTTTTCATCATATATCATATTGCGTATATAACGCCTTCATCACACTCATAGCACCGTCGTGCGCGTGCCATCACAGTGGAAATTCCATGCACGGCACCATCATTTGGGGAATTCCACTATAGCATATGCGGACTGACGCCAGCTGTCCCAGTACCCTGATATCAAGGGATGCCTATATGATGCGTGCTCAATCACATGGTCCTATAGATATAACTATTCTAAGACTCAAGACTAACATGAATTTGGTACATGCATGCCATGCTATGCTGTCACACACAAACAGAAAGACAAGTGCGGTATGATGTACGGTGCATGCATATATCATCATTTCATAACATATACTTCTTGTACATTGGATGCCATACTGCCAAGCCATTCTTTCTTTGCATAACAGAATTTCCATAATCATAACATTTCCATAGGCAGAATAATTTCATCATTTATGGCAGAATAATCATAAGGCACATGTGAGCAACAATTCACAATTCATACACTAGTCAATAGTCACATCAAGTAATACCGCCTAACACATACCTCATGTCCACGCAATAATCAACAGCACCACAATTCAGCCCACTCAATAAGAATTACGTGCAC